ATATTTTAGATCAACCAGGTCCTTCACTTGCAGGCATTACTCTAGTCGTTGATGAAGAAACTGCAGCTAGTACGTCTAATGTTGAAGACTCAAGTGTAACACCTGGAAAAGTATTGGACACGTTATCGCCTGTACCCAAAATTGATGCTGCAAAAAAGAATGTAAGGGGCCGAGCAAGAAGAGTGGCGGAAATTCTTAATTCTGCAGACAAAATTCAAGAAAAGAAGATAAAGAAACAAGAATCAAAAAAGAAGACAGTTTCAAAGCAGCAAAACAAAAGGCGTCAATGTAAAAAGTATGAGTTAGATTCGTCTGATGATGATATGAATGCAGATGTGCCAGTTTTAGATGACAGCGAAGACGAAGACGAATTTAATGAAAATGAGTGCATTGGTTGTGGTGAAGATTACAGCAAAACATCCAGAAAAGATGACTGGGTTCAATGTTTGATTTGCAAACACTGGTGCCATGACAACTGTACAAAATTTGAAAATGTTTGTGATTCGTGTGGAAAAATTGCTAGTAAAAAGAAATAGGTTAACATCATTATTTTATGTGTTTCAAATTAGCACATCTCTACCAATAGCAATGGCCCATCTGTACCTATGTGTTGGTATAGATGGGCCAATAAGAAGTATTTATGTTAATTTCTATAACTTTTATATTGCTTAAGTTACACGTTTTTTATTTTGCACAATAAATATATAAACTATAATAAGTATTATTTTCCAAAAATCGTATCATACACTAGTCAATTTTTCAAGTAATCTGTTTGAGAAAAAAAGTGGCCCGTCTCTCCCGGACTTACCTTATATAATGCAGTTCTTTTCACACTGTCATAGGCTGCTTTGAAGTCAATGAAGAGATGGTGTGTATCTATGTTATATTCTAGTGACTTTTCTAGAATCTGCCTATGTGCTTGAATTTGATGTGTAGTTGACTTTCCAGCAGTAAATCCGCATTGATATTGACCAACAATATCCTTTGTAAAATGTTTAAGTCTTTCAAATAATACATTGCCGAAGATTTTATACGCAGATAGTGCTTACACTCCAGTTGATCGCCCTTTTTATGCAACAGACATATTATTCCATTTAGCCTCTCTTTCTGGGACTTTATTGTCTTTGAGTTTTAGGATCGCATTTGACACTTCTTCTCTTGTTGGGTCTTCACTGTGTAGTTGACGTTGTAGATTTTGTTGATTTTCTATGTTGTACTCTCTTCAATATCGTTTATATTTAGATGTTCGCTGAAATGTTGTGCCCATCTGTTAAGAACTGAGTTTTTATCATGTAGAATTTCACCGTTAGTGTCTTTACAAATTTTTAATCGTGGTTTAAATTCTCGACGGCTAGTATTTAAGGATTTGTAGTATTTCCTCGTTTCATTTTTATCGAATAAACTTTGTATCTCACTGAGAGTGTTCTGTTCGTATTCCCTCTTCTTACGTCGATGGATGCGTTTTTCCTCTCTTCTAAGACGTCTATACTCTTCTTTTTTTCTCCGTGTACAACCTGCGTCAATGGTTTTTTGATATGCTGCGTTCTTTCTATTTGTGGCCATTTCGCACTCATTATCAAACCAATGATTTTTTCTGACTTGGTTTTGCCCATGGACGTATAAACACAGATGGACTCAGTTATTTACATAAAATTGTGAAGTCAAAATTATTTGAATAGGTCACATTCTCAGCACCTTCAACTGTTGTCACGTTTTGTTTTAAAATTTCTTATTCGCGAGTCGCTGAAAATATTACTCCGTATTTTATACTCTACAGGTGCTATCAAACCAAAATAATAATTTATTGGTTATATTAATATATTTAATTGTAATCAAAATATCAAGTGTGCACATAGTGTGCATTATCATTTAATAATAGCGTATAATAGATATCAATCAATTATTTTATATGTAGAAGCACTGAAAACTATTTATAAATGGCAACGGTTGTTTACATTTCTCTGTCTTATGGATCTACGTCAAACTTCAAATGCTGTTCCATGTTTGTTTACTTTTACAGTAAATGAGGAAAAAGTTATTTTTCGATATTTTGGCTGTATTTTGAGTGATATTTGTGAAAAGTGAAATAAAATAAACGAAATATTTACATCCCGATCTCTCATTTCATTTGTAAGTACATACAATTTACATTATTTAAGATGAGGAAATGAGGAAGCGTGTTTGTTTACATTTTAATAGGCGTACCATTGGGTTTATTCATGTTCATTAATGTATTGAATAAGATATGAGTTCATGAAATTAGTAGACATTTATAAATTGTAAGTAGACATCATCTGATTAAAAAAGATCTGTTTAGTACCTTTTTAATTTAATATTTCTCATGGATACAAATAAATTAGTGAAATGAATAAAACTCATTTATTTTTCTATGTAGGTTTCCAAATAATATTGACGATCGAACTATTTGGGTAGCAAATTAAGGAGAAAACATAAAGATTTTTTATTGTAGCATTATTTTGATACTATTAAAAAATTAACTTGAATTCAACTATATTTAATTGTATTAATTTTAAAGCAAATAAAATTGTATTTTAATTTTTCTATAAAGACGTGATTTGTTAATAGTTAAACTCTCGTTTTTTTTTTTTAATTCTTTGAACGTGTTTTTATACATTATTACTACTTCCAATTTTTAAAATCTGAATAAAACCCTTTTATCTTTTATTTTCTGTCTGTATACATTTGCAATGTAGGGATCTTTTAATTTATTAATGTCTATTTTTTCTCTCCTTCTCCCCATCTCCTTTTTTAAATTGGATATTCTCTCTTTAAATCGTGCTTTAACTAAATAATGATCACTATCTATGTTTGCTCCTCTAAAAGATCTAACATCTAATAAGTTAGAGCAGTGTCTTGCATCGATGATTATATGATCATATAATCATATATTTGGTTAATCGTTTCATTATCAGGAGATTTCCAAGTACCTTTATATATATATATATATATATATATATATAATATATATATATATATATATATATATATATATATATACAGGGTGGTGAATCGTCAAACGGTCCATAGGAAACTCAATGGGAAATTCTAAATTGTTGAATTCCTGCTTCCCTAATTATTTTACACCCAAAGTCATGGGAAACTATTTGTAGAGGACTCAAATATGTATCGAAAACAACTGTTAAAATTATTCTACGACTTAAACGTATTCCAAAATTTTGCTAAAATATAATACATTTTTCTGTGAAAAAATGTGTATTACGTGTTGCGTTTTGTCATATTATTGTTTCTGATATTTGACAATATTTAAATCAATTATATTACATTTATCTATGATTTAAATGGCCAAAATTTTGTGATTTATTGTTAAAAAAAAAATTAAGTTGATTAAAAAATGTACTCAGTTGAGGAGAAAAAAGCAATAATAAAAATTTTTTATTCATGTTTTATTATAACACTTGTTATAGTTTTATGTTTATAAATTATCATATATTATTATTAGAAATAAAGATCACAGTAACAGTATATTGGAATTCATTGAATTGTTGTATAACTTAACATGGAATTAAATTTTAGTGAATTAGAATATCTTACGTTAAATAAAGATCCGGTAGTGGCAGGAAAAGGTTCGCGCTATTGCCTGAGTACAACATTATGCGATTTTTCGTCAACTGAGTACATTTATATTGATCGATTTGTAAACAATATAATTTATTGTTCACAAAGTAATAATGTTCATTAGTAGTAGTATTTAGTAAAACTCATTGTTTATAATTTAATCATAAAATAAAAAAATTGACAATTCAAATTGTCAAACATCTGACATAAATATGATAAAACACAAACGTAATAATATATATTCTTGCATTACGTGTGGCCTAACTTTTAGGGGTGGCCTGAAAAATGTATTATATTTTAGCAAAATTTTGGAATACGTTTAAGTCGTAGAATAATTTTAACAGTTGTTTTCGATACATATTTGAGTCCTCTACAAATAGTTTCCCATGACTTTTGGTGTAAAATAATTAGGGAAGCAGGAATTCAACAATTTAGAATTTACCATTGAGTTTCCTATGGTCCGTTTGACGATTCACCACCCGGTATATATATATATATATATATATATATATATATATATATATATATATATATATATATATATATATAATATATATATAATATATATATATATATATAATATATATATATATATGTATATATATATATATATATATAATATATATATATATATATATCTTTATGGGGGAATCTTGTCCCAGCTATTACCATGTTCTTAGACATTGCAAAGTTTATGATTCTGAGACCGTTATCATTAGAGTCTACGTGTAGACTCTCTTTTCCGATGGTGGGCGAAAATATATTCTCTCTTCCGACTTTGGCATTAAAATCTCCTGCTATTATTTTGATGTCATTTTTTGGGCACTCATCGTACTCTCGGTCTAGTGCCTCATAGGACATGTCTTTTTCATTATCCCCTTTTTCTTCCGTTGGAGCATGGATGCTAATAATGCTAATATTAGCGAACTTTTCTTTAAGTCTTATTCGACATATCCTATGATCAATAGTTTTGAAATCTATTACACTATGTTTGACCTTGCTGCTTATAATAAATCCGGTACCAAACTCGTGTCAGTTGGATAGGGGATCTCCAGTTGGGTTGCTCGGTTTACAGGGGACACCAGCATGAAGATGAGAGTCGGATTTGAGTAGAAGAGGCTAATTGGAGTAAACTGGATTCAACTCCATGTTTTCGCATTCTACCCCTTTATCCTTCTTGTGTGTAATACTACTATTACACTCATTGTATACCTTCTCCTCCTCTATCCTTATCCTTCGTAAGGATGTGGTGACGTTATGGTATTTGACGAATGGTTGCTATCCATTCGTCTCTCTCATGGGCGCGGTAACTTGCCTCAGACACTTTATTTGGTCTGACCATCGGAGTGGCGATCTTCCTCAAGTTCTTTTACCGTCTACCTTGCCTTCAACCACCAACCTCTCCATGCCTTCCATTCGTCTGCTAATGTGTCCAAAATACCTCAATATATTGTACCTCATTGTATACAGCATATACCCATTGGAAAGGAAACTGAAAGAGAAATGACCAAAGGATCTCTTGTATTGGCAAGTTATCACAGGACAGGACTCTTAGAGTATTAATAATTTATTTATTCTTGCAAATTTGAAGCACGTTTTAAAAATAAAAAATAGTACCTTCAATCGGTGTTCCTGAGTATGGGGGAAGTAAATTAGAACGGGGCGTTTTATATACAATACAATATTTAACATAAAATCCTATATTGTCGGGATATCCATTTTCGTCAAAGTCTGTAGAACGAAATAGTGAATTCGCCTCTTCTACAGCCATCAATACTTGGTTAACTGCAGAATCAACGTTCAAATGATGAACTATGTTTAGAAATGAGTAATCAATGAGGACCAACAGCGAACACAATTTCCTTAAAAATGTACATTAATATTAATTTTTCAATGATCTAGCAATTGTAAGGTTATATTTTACCTATTTTTACATTTACATTTACTATATTTACATTTAAGTGTAGTTTTATCGGATCTGATAAGAACAATTATAGAAAAGAATAAATTTTTTGAAACAATAAAGAGATAAGGAAAAAAACATCTTATTATGTGGTTTTTATGATTTCATAATTTATTTTTATTATTTCTTTAGTTTCTATAGCTCCGTCTGAGTTATGATGGGTTGTTGTAACTGATTTGTTCAATTTTGGATGCAGCGATCCCAGGCTAGTTCTTGCTTTTATCTTTTTCGCCTATTTTATGTAGAACTATTTTTTTATCATGTTAGCATTTTTTTTCTTGTCAAATTTTCTTTAATAAGTTTCCTATGAGCAAAGTTCCGCTTTGTTGAAGTAATTCTACTGGACAGTTGTTTTCCCTTGGGTGTTTATTATTTCTCAGTTGAATTTTGATCTGTAAGACCTTTTATGATCGGGCTTCTAGGTATACAAATATCAACAATCAAAATTGTACCACGTAGGTGATGTTTGGTAAGGTTTGGTTAGATTTAATTAGGATTTGTTGGTTACATTAGCTAAGGTTTAGTGATAGAAATATAATACAAGATAGACTGATCTTTGCAATACCAGCAGGGAACTAGTTCTAATTTGCTAGGTTTATTGACCACGTAACCTAAATGACCAATGAGAAGGTCACGTGGTCGATAAACTCGGCCCATTAAATAGAGATGCAGGAATTGCTTTGCGTCAGTTTTCTCTGTAGCACTGGGGGAATACGACTGTATTGCAGCTGTCAGTCTATCTTGTATTATATGTCTGAGTTTAGTTAGGTTTATTATGTTATGTTAGATTAGAAAAAATGAATTGATTCGATCCCGTTTATTTTTAAAAACAACTTGCTTTAAATTTTTATGTTCACCACCAGACTGAACCACGAGCATGCCAGATTGCCTTTAGCTTTAGATGAAGTTTCTAAGCCGTTTTTAATTATCGATATTTCGGCATCTAAAGCCTAGTTAACAATTTTTTTGCAGATTCGTAATTAGCTTGTCAAATTGATCAAAAATTGCGCGAATTTAAATAAAATTATTTTGTAAATATATTGAAAAATTGGAGATTTTGCTATTTTTTTTAACTACTTTTTAGGAATTTGGATATTTTTTGGAATATTTAACCTAAAAATATCCTTCATCTTGACAAATGCAGCCCAAGCTAGGTTTATTCTTGTCTTTAGCTAGATTGTTTGGTTGTCTCGATTATCTATTCTGACCTCATGGCCCAAATACTGGCTCGATGCCCCTCTCTTTAACATGCTCCGTATGGAACTCTTGGATCATTATCTCCATCTATTCAAAGCTGCACAATAAAAACGATGTCATTTTTAAACTTAAATTTGTTTAAAACTTTTCTATTTACGTTGATCCCTTCTCGTTCTCTATTGAATTACAACCATATTCTAGCAAAGTTGTAAACAATTTAGCATCTCCGTTTTTGGGCATGACTACGACTTAAATTTGTTTAAAAATGTTCTGTTTACGTTGATCCTTTCTCGTTCTAATCTATTGAATTACAACCATATTCTAGCAAAGTTGTAAACAATTTAGCATCTCCGTTTTTGGGCATGACTACTACAACAGCTTTATTACATCGAGAAGGTATCATTTCTTTTGAAAGGCATGAGTTATAATTGTGTCAATGCTTTTAATTTAACCTACTTTAACTACTTCAAAAACTATTTGGTCATCCCCAGTTGCTTTATTCTGTTTTATTTGATTTAATGGCTGAAACTTTTTTAATTGTCATTTCTGGAATGTTGTCTGAAACCACATTTTCGACTTTTCTCGACTGCATACCATCTTTCTTATATTTTTCTCTATATAGTACCGTGTAAAATTCTCCAACTATCTTAACTATTTTCTCTTTAGCTGTTGTTATTTATCGATTTCGTTCTTCTAGCTTAACAATAGTCTTCTTAACTGGAGCTTGATTTCTCTTCAGCGCTCCTAAACTGCTATTTTCCTAGGCAATCACTGTAATCTGTTTGGTGTTACATCGACTTAAGTCCTTTCTCATTACTTTATTAATATCTTTATTAAGTTGTCATAGTACGAGTGCTTGGCTTAAGATCTTGAGGAATGGTTTGAATGCAGTAGTGCAGAACTATTTGGAGCGACAGTCAACAGGGTCCGCGTAGCCATGATGATTTCCAACCTTCGATAGAAGATGGAACTTAAATAAGAAAAAGTACGTGTGCGTTTCTGTTCTTAAGTTATCTTTGTATTCTCATAAGTCCTTTTGTCTCTTGACTGATTTTTTCCTCCTTGTCCTTCCTACGATTTGTATTGTACCTTTCCTGTTTTTATTGATTTATCGTTTATAGTTTTGACATCCATATCATGTTTGTTGTCTCCAGGCATCTCAGAATTTAATCTTCTTAGGACATGGTGTTTTCTATTAGATTCCATCTTATTGGACGTGCTTTTGTTCCTTATGTGTATCATTTTGTATCTTTATTTTTGGAGATTTAGTATGAACTTCGCTCTTGACATTCTATGGTCACTTCTCACCAAACAGCTATTAACGATTGTATCATCATGGTTCATGTTTATGTTGTTGGTAAGGACAAACTCGATTTCATTTTTGGTCGCTCCATCTGGACTGGTTCATGTTCATTTTCTTTGGGTACTTTTTTTGAAAAAGCTACTCTTTGCAAAGAAAACATTTCGCATCAAAAATCCCCAAAAACAATTTCACTCCTTTTATTTCTTTGTCCAAATCCATAGAGACCCACTGCAATTTCGACTTCGTCCAGTTTACATCCAAACTTATTGTATTCTCTAAGTTAAGTTTTCATAGAAGGTTTCTAACTTCCTTGCTTAAGTGCGTGGATGTATGGGCTTCATCTTAACGTGCGTTATTAAGTCTCCCTGGCGTTGGAAATTACCACGGCAAGACCCTCTCTGTCTTTAGCTATTCTGAACAGTTGTTCGATTCTCCGTGTCCCTGTTCATTCTCTGAAATTCTTCAACCACGAGACTTGTTTTTTACCAATTCTCCTTCGTCCTTAGATTTTACCCATCATAATTAGTTGAAGAATATTATAATGTTTTCCCGCATTACATGTCCATGAAGGGGCATAGGCTTGAATTATTTTAAATTGTTTTATTGTTAAGTTTCAATGTGCAGAGTATTATTCTAGGTTAACCCCTTTAAGCTGGATATTCTAAATGTTGTGTATCATAAATCCAACATCTCTATCTTTTTTTTTGTTTCCCTTATAGAAAAGTTGATGTCCTGATTTCGGAGTTATACATTCCTCTCCTTCGCGTCCGATTTCACAGAGGCTCAAAACGTCCAATTTTATGTGTTTTACTCCTCTTACATCGTACGTGGCGATATTGTCTCGTCTTCCATGGTAGACTCATCTGAACTCCAGATTCTTCGTATCCTCTGTTTGCGGTTTTCCTTTATTGTTACCTTGATTAAGGATCAGCTCACTGCCGGGGACTGCAAGAAGTGTTTTTGTTGTGTCAAGCATCTTTGAATTTTAGCCATACTCTATCGCACTGACCAGTGTGAGTTGATAGGGGGTAAGAGAAAGGTGGGAGTTTTTAAAGTGAGAGACAAGAAATGGTATGAGGATCTAGTTCCCTAAGACAAGGAAGGTGGGAGAACCAAACAGGTGCTAGCATAAGGCATGGTCATCAATCCTTGAGCAGCTTATCTCTACTAAGATTGCAAAAGAGTACTACCTGCTTATTAAAAAAGTTTCAAGAAAATTTGTCAATACATACTACGTTGCATTTGATTCAAATATTTTATTTTAAGAAGATCGCATAGAGAATAGAGCATTAGTCTGAATAGACCCTTAATAATATCAGCTATCGATAAAAACGGTATTAATTTACTACCAAATTAAAAATAAAACTCACCCTGTTCTTGCCATTCGTTTGGATATATTTCGATAACTATAATCTACATGTTGAGAAGGTTTCAAATAGTATGTTTCTTTAAATGTATTTTTCGATTCGCTTGACAAAAAATCTCTCTCAAAAGCGATTGCATTATAAGATGTATTAAAATATTCTGGAAAAATGTCGATATATTTTTTTAAATTCTCTATGTAGAATATTTTATCAGTCATTACAATTTTTCCATAAAAATAAAAGTCTTCTAAATACCCAATAACATAGCTTGCATACTTGTCTTTGGTGATAAATCCTTCGACCAACTTATTTGGAGGGGCCAAAATAGTTCTGTTTTCGTCATTTTCAAATATAATAAATTCTGTCTTTTTGCTTAGGAGCTCTGGTTTAGTTTGAATATAAATTTGAAGGTCTTCCTCCGTGTTAAGATGAATATTAAAATGTAAACCATGTTTTAGTTGATCTGTTAACGTTTTTGAATAATTTTGTATTGCGATGTTGGTGGAAATTACAAAATGCTTGGAGAGCTTTAAGGTATTATAATCTTTCATATCAAATTTCCATTCACAAAAACACAATTTGAATATCAGTATCAAGATGTAAGTAAACTTAAAAGAACCCATCTCACAATAGAAATATTTTAAATTTTATGGAACTCCGAACATTGTGTTTACATTACAAAAATTACATGTCAAAATATTAAATTGTCATATATGTCACTTTTTGATAACTTCACTAAGCCATGTGTTAAGATCTTCATTGCTACTAAACTAAATTGCATATACCATGTCTATAACAATATTCGTTGAAATTGTACAGGCCTTGCAAACCCTATCCGTTGAAGGAAATTTGGCCACTAGAAGCTTTGGCTCAGCTGCACAGCACTATGAGGATGATAGCTGGTACAATTAAATCAACTCCCACCCAAGGGCTTCCAGTATTGTCACATTCCACCTCCACATTTACGACGAGTTGACTCACTTACACGTGAATACAAAAAGATCATGAACAATATAAACCTGCCGATCCACCAAGATACCGAGGATGCACGAAATACCCGTCTACGTTCTAGAAAACCACCAATGAAAACGGCAAGAATGATACATGAGGAGTTCAACATCACGAATGCATGGTCCCAAGAATGGAATGCATGGCAAAATAACATGCCCTGCATTACTCACAAGCCACCAGGTTTTGATCTTCCACGTAAAACATGGTCCACTTTAAACAGGATTCGAACCAGACATGGCAGATGTGCATATATATGCCACATAAATGGGGAAAGAATCCAATCTCAATGTGACTGTGGGAAGAACCAAACGATCGATCATATTATTGAAGAGTGTCCCTCAAGATCCTACAACGGTAGCCCTGAAGACTTCCTGTTTGCAACTTCAGAGTCAATTGATTATGTTAATACACTTGATGTTTGTTTGTAATTATTTAAAGTTTGTCATATACCTATATTACTAGTGTTTGTAATTTTGTTCTAACTGTGTTGTAATTGCCATACGATAAATAAATAAATGGCCACTAGAAAAACATGCAAAATTTTGATTGCAAAATAGTTTGAATACCTAGAGCCTATAGTCAACCGCCTACAATCTGCGCAAACTAATGTTTTAAAAGTAGCCGAACATATCGAAACATGTATTTAAAACACAGACAGACGCAAAAATTTATTGCATGAAGCCAATAAGATAGCCGAAGAATGCGGATTTAAATTATCTACCCCTAGAACTGTAAACAAGCAACAGCATAGAAGCAATCAACCAGCTGATACGCCTAGTCAATACTGGAGGCGATCCATGATTCTTCCGTATCTGGATTCTATCATATCTTTTCTAGAGACACGGTTTTCCGAAGAAAATATGCCAACCTTCGCTCTGAGTCTTCTGCATCCCAAGCATTTTTCAAAAATTGATTTAAATTGCTTTAAATTAGAACTGAGACAATCCTTAAACCAATATGGAATGATGCAGAGCTAGAAGTATGGGTAGAACATTGAAATAAAAAACGCCTTAGTAATGAGTTAGACAACTTCAACACCCTTTAAATATTTTAACTGGTTCGAGCGTCCACTACTTTTTATCCGTTAACAAAAAAATTGCTGGAAATTCTTGTAACATTGCCTTGCACTACGTGTACAGTCGAGAGCAGTCTTCGAAGAATAAAAACACGGTTGCGGAATACAATGGTCGAAGATCGCCTTAATGGGTTAGCTCTAATGAGCATTCATCGGAAACAAATATTACCAAAAAAGGAAGAGTTTATAGAGAAAGTTTTACAAAAATTTACAATTGATCCGCGTAAATTGTTGTTTAAATAATAGTGTTTAGGAACAGAGCATTTATCTTGCTTCACATCGAAGGCTTATCCAGGAGAAAATAAATTTGTTAAATTTGCATCACGTTTTTGTAAAAAGTATTAAAAAAGTTTTTAAATATTTAATTTAGTTTACTTCTTTTTTGTATGAAGGCGTTAAGTTATAATTTTGGTTGCAGAAACGTTATTTTCAAAACTTCTCTGAGAGAAACCCCTTCCCCCTCACAGTGAAGATTCCCAATTTACGTCTATATTTATTATTGCTTATCTTACCAATTTTTTTATTTTTCAAATCTGTCCCCGCCCCCCTAGTTTTGAACCTGCGGGCGCCCATATGCTAGTAGACTCTTGCTATAACAAAGACTTAAAATGGCAACACAAGATAAGTGAAGACCAATATGGATTCAGATCCGTCAGCGTATTTGTTGATAATCTCTTTATTATGCAACTAATCTTAGAAAAGCGACATTTGATAGAAGAAACGCACATCGCATTGATAGAATTAGAAAAGGCTTATGATAACGTATTAAGATGCAGTACATTATCTACTTTATTATTTAATCTTAATTTCGAATGAGTTTTACATCAGTAGAGACGCAGCTGTGAAAGTATGGAGATACGAGTAGAAGATGACTACTTAACTGGCATCAACTTCGCAGATGGTCAAGCTAGTATTGTACAGAACTCTGATGGTCTGGAATTTATGCTGATAAGATTATACGGAGCATATAAAAAAACAGAATATTTAGTGGTAAACTCAAGCTAATTTTGAGGTCTCGATCGACAATGTTTCGACGCTCTTATAAGGCATAAAGATTGCGGTAAGAAAAAGATTGACAATAACGTGGAGACAACACAGTAAAATCATTTAAATATCCAGGAGCAATTTTGACAACATATGAGCTAGGGCAAGAGAGAAAATAAAGAATGTAATTAGAAGTCTTAACTCAATATGGTAGGACTGGCATATAACACAGAAAATAAATATTGGGATTTTAAGAGCAGTTTTAGATTCTGTCTGCATTTGGATGTGAAGTGTTGACCTTCAATGCTGAAGCAAAGAGAATATTAGATATAGGAGAGATGGACTATTTTACAACGAGGTTATTAGAGATAGATAAAATGCCACAAATATGTTAACTGATAGGACAGGAACTATCTCAAGTGGTTTGGACATCTACGGATGGAAGAAAGTAGATGGTCCAGATAGGGTATTTAGATGGAATCCACCAGGAAGGCGTAAAAGTGGAAGATCAAGAATATCCTGGAGTGGAAGTATCAGGAAGGCAATGGAGCACAGGGATTTAGAGAAAGAGGACACACAAGATATGCAAATCCCTTTCTCCAATAATTTCTTTTCACACATTGGTCCACCTATTACAAATGGACTCACATTTGCAAACAATTCATCATTTGAATGATAGCTATAAATATCTCAGTGTAAGCATTACAAACGATGGTAGGAATACAAAACAAATAGCAACTAGAATTGAACAAGGTAATTCAGCAATATTTCAACTAAATAGTATCCTCTGGAATAACCACATCACTCATTACACAAAAATGCGGATATACAACAGTATCATAGAAAGTATTGCTACCTATGTTATTGGCAAACATGTTGCCAACTCACTAGAAAAGAAAGAATGAGGAATATTCAAATCTTATAGGGAGATCTTATAAGCTTATAGGCAGATATTGACATCCTCGAAATTATAAAATACAAAATGCTGAAATGGTATGGCCATGTCAAAAAAAAAATGATTTATCAACATCAGCAGTGGACAAAGCAAATATTACAGTTGATCCCCAACAACTGCAGAAAAAGGGGTAGACCAAGGAGACTGTGGAGATAAGGTTAAAAGCATATGACTGGTAGGATTGCACATTTTTAAAGCTAGGATACGAGAAACAACGACAGCTGTGATAAACTTGTATATCAAAATTGCTTGCATTTGAACAAAAATTAATTTTGATAGAGTTTAATGTAAAGTTATAATAAAAAAATATTGTAATAAGTTTGTGATTGATGAAATGACCAAGACTCATAATAAAAAAGTTAGGTTTACTTTTAACTTATATTAGCTGTAGAAAATAGATTCTACCTGAGCCCCAAAAACACTGAAGACCAGGTCCTTATGGGCCTAGTCTGTATGATAGGTGTGATACAATGAATCCGCCTTAGGAGGTCTAAGGCGGATAGGGAGGGCTCATAAATGGGCCCTACACTGATCTACTATAACCTGGCTCAATACACACACAAAAAAGGTTACTTAAATACATATGATTTTTTAAATTATACTTGTATATTTACAGTTTACTATAAAAAACTTTTGACTAATTTTGAGTAAACTTATCCTTACATTTGTACACCTATTTTTATTGTTTATAAGAATATGTGGTAAAGGAATATTTTAAATTTTGTTATAATTTTTGGTTTCCTAAAAAAAGCAGAAGTTTCCATTGTGATTCTTATGAGACAAATCTAGGCAACAAATAATCTTTATTTTTTTTAATTGTATACAAAAATAAATGTTTTAACATGGTCAACTTATTACTTATTTTTAGATTTTTCCTTGGATTTTTTATCTGATTTTTTCTTTTCTGGAGCTGATTTCTGGAAAAATCTTGCAAACAATGATCCCAACAAGCCCAAAACAAAAGTTCCACCTCCCAGCTGCCACAACCATGGGTTTTCCCTCATATATTCCACAACCATTGCAACAAAGTCATCAAATGGAGACTTTGGTAGAGGTACTTTTTCTGGGGTTACATTCTTGTGCCAACTTTGAGCAAAATCAACTAAAGACTGAACATCATACTTTTGTAGGTGATAACGGTACAATTTTCCTTGTCTAAATAATATGAATGATGGAACATTTGCTACTTCAAAGCGACGTCCAGTTATAGCTCCATCTCCTGCTTTATTGATCCTAGCAATGTTTATTCTAGATTTAATGTGGGCTCCAACTGCCTCCCATCTAGCTTGCAAGCGAGTACATTCCACACATTCAGAAGTATAAAACATTACAAACCAATCACCTGTAGTTGAACCTAAAATAAGTTTTATTATTTATAGATAAACTATATTACCTGAAATTTCTATTAAAGACCAATAGTGAGATCCATATATTATCAAAAAGAACCAGTATATAAATATAATTGTTACAGCCTTGTAACATATTGCTGAAACATATTTCTCTCTTAATATGGTCTTAATATATTTCTTTAATAAATAATACAGAATCCATCTCTGCATCATGGTTCTTTTTAATCCACTTATTTCTAAATGTATTTTACTAAAAAAAAAGGGTTGAAAAATAGTTCTTTACTGTCTCGTAAATCTCTCAAATTGTTTTTAATATACACCTGCATCTAGGACTTATTTTTTTATATGTCCATGAATCTGTTAAACAATCTAAATCGCCATAAAAAACAGGTAATTTGAACCGACCTTCGATGCCTGCATTGTAATTTAATATATATTTCTTGTTTTTTGTCAACTTTTAATATCAATTTGTTTTCTTATTTTACTAAAAGACACCTATTAGTAAAATAAGAAAGAAAGAAAAAAAAACACCACTTAAAACCTTGGAAAGCATCAGTTAAAAATGATTATAGTGCTAAATCTTTCAACATGTACTTTTTAGTGATGCATTTTATTTGGGAGAGGATCACCAAAACATGGGAGCAAAACAGAGTATGAATTTTGAAAATTAACAGGAAATGGTTAGCAGGATCTACAAAGCAAATTTAAAATTTACATTCTAACATTTATTTAACAGATTGCCTGCCGTAGAGGATTTTGTAATACTTTCCGATCACGCCAAGTGACCGAGCCAGCACTACAGTTACATTAAAATTCTCAGTCAATAGACCTTGCTGGCGTGCAGGGCAAGTTTTTTCTCTGTCACATAGACCGAGACAGCAGGCAATGTGTTAATACACATATTTCCCATACGAGCCCATCTCCTTAGCATATGAATGACATATAACCCCTAGAAGAGAAGCTGCGAGGCCACAGACCACAAGTGATAATGATGGAAGTAAACAGGTTTCAACAAAAAAAAATACAAATTGAGTTTTAAATATAAATAAAACAAAATTACCAGTGGCAGCTTGAGTTAAGTGTTCAAATGTATTGTCTGTTAACTCTTTAGATATAGGTTCTTTATTTGTTGTAAATGTATGTAGAATTAATTCATCATTTAAAGGACCATCATACAGTAATGGAATGCCGTGTCGGAAAAATACCAGTACTGGTTCTTTATCAGGACTGTATAATCTGGTTAATTGACTATCTTCAACTTTCACAACCCATGCATTTAAGGTTTCTACCAAATCTTCCCTGAGACCAGTTAACTCATTTTCATAATTATCACATGATTCACAGTACTTTCTTGAAAATAACACTATAACATATTTTTCAGTTCTGATTAAGTTCATTAACTCTTCATCTTGAACTACTTCTAGATTCGATTGGGCGACTGAAAATAAATAGAATAAAATTGTACATATTACTATTTTCTTCATTGTTAGAGTAACTAATTTTATTATAATTAATATTATTCTTTGCGGTATTAAGAACCGATTAAGAAAACCACTTATTTTTAGGTTAAATAGAAATAAGTTGACGTTGACAGTTTTTTAAATGTGAAATATTCATAATATTGAAGACCTATGGTGACCTATGACAACATGCCACGGTCCAACCACGTTTCAAATTTACGATTACGTCAGATGTTGTATTTTTTAAACATCATATCAGTTAATTACTATTTAACTGAAAATAAGCCACAATTAAAGATAAAAATACCATATCAGTTGTCTAAATTCAAAACCCGACATGTCCATTACAAATATCTACGTTTGTAACTTATCTTATAACTACCACAGGATAATAAACAATCAGAATGCCCACTCTGCTTGTCAAAATCAGTACGCGCAGATGGAATCAGCTATGTTTTAAACGGAACCAGTGCTGTTCAATGATATTTTATTTGGTGTGCGTAGAAAAATTAACCTGATTTAATTTATTTACGGCAACCATAGACATGATATGCAATATTTTATTATATGCAATATTTTATTCGTACTTTCAGTTGAAGAATAGATTAAATTATTTCAAATTTACTAATGTATTAATGTCTAAAAATTTTAATTATAGTTCTGTGACAAATTTTTCAATCGGAGTCTGTTTCCATTTAAAATATGGCGATCGCGTGCTGACACTTCAAAGGCGGCATCTGAGAGTAGGCATTCTGATTGTTATTTATTTTGTGTAACTTGTACCTTCATCAGCTTAAGTAGACTCAGAAGTATTAACTGAACTCTTACAACAAATTCTCCAACCCAGACTTATTTTGGGCGATTTTAATGGCCACAACTTTTTATAAGACTCTTCTACTATAAATACTAGGAAAAGACTGCTGGAAGATATATTTGAACAGTCCAACCCAACCGTTCAGTCTTAAACGACGGCAGGCCCACTAGATTTAATATACAAAACGGCAAATCTTCATGTATAGACCTTACGATATACGAACCAGGTCTGACCCCACAGTTAACCTGGGATAAGCTCGACTTCTTATACAACAGTGATCACTATCCACTTTTTATTCGTAATTCCTAACAAAAACTAATGTGGACAGACATTTACCCCAAAATGGAATTTAAAAAACTCTAACTGGAATCTTTTTTTAAATTTAATCGAAAACAGTTTAAAAGCACCTCAAATATAGACGAGACACTGAAGAACCTTGTTACCATTATCACAAAAGCAGCAGAAAGAACAATAGGAAAGACTACATGCATAAAACAATGCAACCCTGTCCCTTGAAGGAAGCATGAAACATGTTCTAACAAGCTACGTTACAAGCGCTTCTTCTTCTTCATGTGCCAAATCCTCTAAGAAGGTAGGCAACCATCATAACAATTCGCACTTTCGATACCGCTGCTCTAAAGAGGTCAGCAGAAGTGCAGTTAAACCAAGCTCTCAAATTGTTTAACCAAGGAGATGCGTCTTCTTCCGCGACTCCTTCTACCCTGTATTCTTCCTTGCATTACAAGCATACAAGCGCTACAAAACAGTTAATAAGAATAACATTGAATACACAAAACAACGTCCTATAGCCATTGATTATAAACCACTACCCAGTATGCGGTAATATATATTCTTTATCTATGCCACTACCTAGATAGCTCACCTCGTGGTAACCGAAAGACGTATCAAAAACTAGATGGCGTTACTCGAAAACCGTATCGAGATTCTCATTATCTCTCTGACTTGCGAAGAGATAGGAGTGGTGTCAGGGCCGAACTTACCCTATAAGTGTATTATCTGTGTCTAGTGTTGTGACAAGTTATAGCGAAATTTTATAAAATAAAAAGGACTCACATTTTAGATAAAATGGCCTGTGTAACGCATAAATGTGTTTACGCGGGATGTTTTGAAAGAAACGATGGAACAAATAATAATATATCTTTCTTTAAATTTCCCCTGAAAGACGTAGAGCGCACAAAAATTTGGCAAAAAACTGCGGGAATATTGATATTATATTGATGGATATCACTGACCTAAAACAGAGGGTAATTTGTCAGCATCATTTTGCAGTGGAACATATTTACGAAAGTGGCCAACGAAAGTTATTAAGGAAAATGCTCTTCCTCTAAAATTTACACAGTTAGCAACTGATTTAGGTGAGTATTCAACTTTAGAAATATTTTTATATTTGCGTAATGCAAATGGTCAATGAGAATAAAACTATTAAAATATATATGTTATATAAAATCATTTGATATTGAGTGATTTATATATATTATTTTATACAATTAAATCAAAAGAGATTTTTTTCTACCTATATCTTTTGATATCTTAGTTTGAAAAAAATTAACATTCAAATATACTTATTTACTTTGTTTTAAAATATGATCTAATTAGTGATGTTTTAAACTTTCTAATCCTGTCCGTTTATCAGCTTTTACCTATTGTTCCTAGGCAGATGGCCCTCAACTATTTATGTATTGGAAATTCCCTGTCATTTTATCAAGGTATGTACTTACATTATTCATTTTTAACGTTGGTAATTTGTGGTATTTTGTCAAAGTCAAAATCGATTGCATTTGGTACTCACCACTACTTGCTTTTAAAACCTCGATGACGTAATTCCAGAAAGTCCTCAGAAAATGTTTTTAATTGTAAAAAGCATGCGATCTAACAGTAGATCATAGTGATTTTATTTAGTTCACCTCTATACAATTTTTTATTTTGCACAGAATATGATTGACTTCTATATTGCTATTTCTACCTTTGGTAATGTGACCTAAATATTCCAGCTTTCTTGTGTTGATGTTTTTTATCACCTTGCAATCCTTTTGTAATATTATAACCCTAACACTTTTGCATTTGAAACTCGTTAGATTCAGGTATTTTTAAAATTCCTCTATAGCATCACATCTCAAATGCTTCCAGCTTCTGTATATTGTCTATTTTTAGTGTATAGCTTTCCAATCCATGTATCAAAGTCGAGAACACGTAGCATCTTAAGGCGCTTATCCTCAGCTCTAAAGGAAGATCTCGATTTTCTTGTGACATTATTGCAATTTACTAGTTTTAGTGGTTTATAATCAATGCTATAGCTAAGAAGATAACTAGAAATGCCAAACGCCAGTCATTAACTCAATATGTATGAATGATAAATGCCAACACTCTCATGACCGAAGTATAGCACAAAGTCCGAAGAATATCTGGATTAAATATCAATCAGAATATTAAAAGCCTCGAGATAAATGGAAAGGCAGTTACTAGTAATACTGAGATTGCCAAAATATTTGCTAACACATACAAAAACCTATCCAGTAATATTAATTATAAAAAATATTTTGTTAATTGCAAACAGCAAGAAGAAAATATGAAAATTAGCATTATACCTAATACATATGAACAGTTAAATTTACCTAGTTCTCAATTAGAGTATACAGAAGCATTATCAAATCTTAAAGAAATTGGCGCTGGCCCGAACGATATTCCGAGTATTTTCATCAAACACCTTCTAATAACCGCTCTCAAACAACTTCTAGATCTGTTTAATATTATTTGGTTACAGCAAAATTTTCTGAAAAATGTTATGAATCCACAGTAATACCTATACAAAAACCTAATAGTATTAAAACAAGTCCCGATACATACCGACCGATATCTTTAACACGCGGTATGTATAAGTTACTAGAAAAAATGATTAATAATAATAATATCATAAATTTGGAAAGTGACATTTCTGAAGCATTCCAACTAAGGAGTAAATGTCTAGCGGTTTTCTTAACATATCAAGAGCTTTCGATACAGTCTGGTATGATTATATAATAAAAAAATTACATAGTTGGAACATCCAAGGTCACTGCGTCTTCTTTAAACTTGCTTCAAAATAAAACTTTCAGAGTTAGGACAAACAACACAACATCAGATAAAATGTATCCAGAAAATGACATTTCCAAAGGTCGGTTGAGTCCTATCCTCTTCATAGTGGCAATCAATGATATTCTCAAAAACCTAAAATCGTCTATAAAGGCACGAGTTTACGCAAATGATCTTGTAGTTTTTTGCAAAGGTAGAAATATACAAAATATATTTTGTCACAGACAGAACTTTATACAACACTTAGAACTCTGGTTACAAAAAACAGGTTTCTGTTTTTCCACTAAAAAAACTCGTTTCATCCTGTTTTCTAAGAAAAATTTCACATACACCCTGAACCTATGTGATGAGAACCTAAAACGTGTAACGTCAATAAAGTTTTTGAGCATGACATTCAAAGAAACTCTAAGCTGGAAACTTCATGTAACAAATTTGATCTTAACTTGTCATAAGCGATTAAATCTTCTAAAAACTCTAGCCAATAAAGAATGGGTGCGGATCGCCAAACACTTTTGATTATACAGAACATTAATCAGATTAAAATTAGATTATGGATCTACTGTGTATTCTACAACCACCAAGACACTGCTAAAAAAACTTGACAGTCTTCACAACCTCTCTTTACGTATAATATCTGGAGCTTTTCGCACAACAACAATCGAAAGTATTTATTGTGAAGTTGGTGAGCCGTCTCTAGAAGACAGAAGACTTTATTTAAGTGTAGCATACGCTGCAAAAATCAGGTCTAACTCAAACAACCCTATTATTCAAAATTGTTTTACAGAAAACTTCCCAAATCTCTTATAAATAAGCCAACAACGGACAAACCCTTCTACGCAAGGATTAGAAGCTACTTAAATCAATTAAACTACACGTTCCCAGAATGCTTTCTCTCCCAATCGTCCTCAATTCCTCCATGGCAAATAAAGAACCCTCAGAGCCTAATCCGCCTGATTGCTTTCGACAAACCTTTAACAAAACCACAGTTAATAAAATCCGCCTTTATACGGCTCTCCTTGCCGTATAAATAACAGTCAATAAAACCGGATTAATCTCATATGGCTGGTTGAAAATGAGAGTAAAAGCAAAGACTATAAACGCACATATGCGTCGATATTCTTTTAAAAGGTTTGGTCTGAAAATATAAAAGACAAAAATCATGATAGTGGATAGGCAACACAACAATCATCCACATATAACCAAAATTGACAGGTTTGGTTGT